AAGATCCTTCTCCATTTGTCAGCGTTAATCAAGTTTGCTTTGCAAGTTCAGAAACTCATATACAGTGTGAAGAAAAAGACTGCGATGAGTCTGTTTTTATAACTTGTGCTCGATGTTCGAAGAAATTATGTTTTCAACACTTTTTTACCAGTTATCATTTCCATTAAAAACACAGCAAATATTTTTACGAATTATGGCTCTGTGAAACTGCATTATTGCCACCTTTATCACAAATTGCAAATAACATGTGTGGAAAAACAGAACAGAAAGAAAAACAGTAGTTTTTCTTTTATAAATTGTGTAAGAATATTAGCGTTTTTCCCTCTTTTTTTAAGTTTTAGACGCAGAAGACTCACTCGAAATCTCACTTAGAATCTTGAAAAATTGTTTTCTGTAGGTTTGACGACGTGCTCTTTCATTTGGACAGGTCAAGGAAATTTTTTAGTGAAAATGGTTTTTCGATTGAAAAACTAAGATCTTTAAAAAACGGGTCTTTAAATCGAAAGCGGGCAAAAACCATTGTGATATTCGGAATCAGCACGTTCGATTACCTATTGCCAACTGAGTTTAAGCTCAAAAGCGAGGAGGCAGTTGGTGGCCTTCCCTCGTAAGTTTAATTAAAAGTGTATTCTTACTCATACTCGCTTTGAGGCTTGAATAGTTGCAGGACCTGACAGTACAGGGAAATGAGATCAATCGTAAAGGAGTAATATAGATGAAGTTCATATACGAAAGAATCAGTTTAGCGAGACTGCCTATTTAATCCAAAAGTGTGAAGTCACGGTCTGCAATACGACGATCGATAAAACCGAACTTGAGTTATTGGACTTGCTATACCTTGTGTGTGATAGTGGGTTTCAGTATCTTTATCAAACCTATATGATAGTTGCTTTTTTAGAAAATATGTACTGTTGTTTTGACAGTTTTTGGAAAAACGCTCTTATCTTAATTATCGTTTCTTTCTAGCTTTAAAAATTACACGTTGCTGATATTTCATGCTCTCAAATTTAACTCAAGTGCGTTTCCGCCTGTTTGAAAGCTCAATACATCTATGATTGACAGTTTTTGTACGCTGACGTCGGTTTCAAAATTTTCAGATTCTGTCTCAATCAACGATAAAAAACCTATAAATCATTCAGAGTTTCCCCTAGGTAAGCCACCCAGAAAATAATTAGCAAAATCTATCATTTGATGGAAATTGTTAATTATTAATTAGATTATGATACATTTTTTTACGCTTTTCTTTTTCCAATTTTTATATCGAAAAATAATTGAGATTTTCACCAAAAAAGGAAAATCAACAAAAGCTTTTGAAAAGCATACCATTCGGGTCAGTTTTTTATGTTGATTTCGAAGATGGTACTTTCATTGCATAAAAAATGGAGAAAAATAAAAAGTAGACACAGAATTTCGATCTTTTTCTCTGCTCATTTAGAAAACATGAATTTTCTCAACAACAAAGCAAAATTTCTAAAACAAGAAGGTTATACTTTTAAAGCTGAGCTTTCAGTAAACCGAATGACGTGCAAATGGTGGATTCATCCTTCAAAATAAAAAAACTAGGTAGATTTACAAAATGTCCTGCTTGTACTTCAGAGAACGCTGATTTGTGGCGTCCATGTCGGACATGCTTTTAAATGTGAAAGTGCTCATACACTACTTTTCTCTTCAGACTTTAACGTCAAATCCCAAAACAATTGTTCGAACGCTTCACAATAATCTAGAACCCTGATATTAAAGGTTTTTCAACCTGAGAGATTTTTCTACATGAAAAACTTTTTTTGAAAAATTAAAATTACATTCTCTTAATCAGCTCCATAAGCTCTGTCGAACGATGTAAAATAAGTTCAAAAAAAAATTTGCTCGATGTTTGCATTACGTTCATCTGAAAAATAACAGTCGCGTATAAAAGAACAATTTTGCATCAAAGCTTTTATTATGTAAATTCAAAGTTGAGTAACTCACTTTTAGTTTATCAAAGTTAAATATAACTTGGTACACTTTCTTATGCTCGAAATAGCTTGACCTCGATGAATTTATATAGAATACGTAGTGGCCTAAACCCCTCCCCAGAATAGAAGGCCATGGTCTTCTATTATGGTTTCGCACATCGGAACTAAACGTAAACTTATATTCGCAACTTATATTCATTAAGTATATTCAGCTAAAGTAAGTATAATCAACTTATTTTTCTCAAAAAAAAAAAATTATCACTTGGTGAAGTCTCTTCTTTGGTTCTCAAAACTATTCTAAATAGGCATCTTGAAATGCCATACAATCTGATACTACCACTATTTGTTCAAATATAAGTTTCCGATGGATCAAAATCCCTTTAATCACAGTACCATATGCTCTTCGGCCTTATCACTTGGAAATATAGTTTTAACCAAATGATAAGAATGCTTTTTCGCCACCGTTGTCATACTAGGTTGCCTGTTTCTTGGTAGTAATTGATATCCCCAAGCCTGAAAAAAAAATCTAGTATCGCCCGATTCATCTAGATTGCTAGATTTTTACTCGATTGCAACTACTGTGTAACGACCGTGGAAATCTAGTAATTGGGCGATTACTAGATTTTTTCTAGTTGCAACTATTGATTTATCGCCCGATAATTGATCCATTTAACTATTCCTAGATGCGCCTGCAGACGCATCTAGTTAAAAGTCCCTTTTCCAACTAGTAATCTAGATGACAACTAGTCGAGTATCGCCCGATTACAGACGAAATGTATCTAGATTTTTCTCATAGGTGATATTTGCTTGGGATCGGAAACAGACATTTGATTGTGTATCAACAAATGTGAAAACAACTGTTTCAGTCAGGCGACTGTCACCAAACTACTAAAAGTCATTTTTCCGAGCGTCAAGAGAAAAGCGCAAAAACTGGTGTTTTAATACTAACTATTTCATACACTCTTTGATTTTGTTGTTAACAATGGTATATAAAAACATTGATTGGATATATTAGAACACGTTCTCCTTTTGGATCGTACAAATCATCGAGACGTGGGCTGCTTGTTTTGAATAAGCAGTTCGTGGTTCTGACACACTATAACCGGAAGAATCAAAACATTTAAAAATGGCAGTTTAGTGTTTTCTTAGAATTCCAAGCAAAAGAATAAACTAGGTTGTAAAAATATGTGGAAAGTGACAAACATTTGCAGTGAAAAGCCAGTCATCTTAAAATGGTTGTTTTTTTCAACAGGTTTTCGGTGATTCAAAATGTCTGTTTTTAGGCAGGAATATGGTCCTACTTAAAATGCCTAAAATGATGAAAAAATTGTGTTGAATAGCAAAAGAAGTTTTATTTTACGATTACTTATGATGTATCGGAAAACGTTTTCTGGGCTCTTAATGTAACCGTTCTAAACGTCCTGGGTATATTTTACATTATCTTTGTTTCTATACATTTGAAATCTATTTTAGACAATTATTTGCACTGTAATTTGCATGCTTTGGAAATTTCAAGCCTTTTAAGGTTAATAGAAATCTCGAAGGGGGTGTTAGTGCACAAAAACAGTTGCTCAGAAAATTCATTTTTTCTAACTCCAGTATAAAAAAGTCGGGATTCTGCCGCTCATTCTCAGTTTTACCCCTCAAAACTCATTCTTTTATGCCATGAAATACCATATTCGGGTATTTTATTCGGGCTCTTCCTGTGTTTTTAATTTTTCTCGGTGAAACTGGCTCTGAGAAGGTTAAAAAGGTGATATTGTTGTTGAGCTCAATCGAATTATATATAAATGACCCCAAAATACAATCGTGTAGAAACTTCAGACTAATGGCGCCTTACATTATCTCCCGATCAAAGTTTGACTAGTTTAAACATGTTAAATTGGATGTTCATAAATGAGCATGCCATCTTGGAAAATGCAGTCGAATTTACGTATATTTTTAGATTTTCAGTGTATACATTTAATATAAGATACAGCGTCAGTTATTTCTTGAAATTATTTTAAGAGAGGGATGCCTAAACCGAAACCAACAACACAAACGAAACTAAAAGAATTAGTTAATAGTACAACACAAATAAATGAATTTGGTAAAAGAATATTACAAAATAAGCCTAAAATGTATATGGATCAGTTATATGAAGGTGCACAAATATGTTGCCAACATGCGGGTAGAAAAAGAATTAAATTATGTGACGTTACATGTGCATTGAACGTTCGCGGTGAAGGTAAATTTACTTACTTACAGTACCGAAAATATGCAGGAAGAATTGACTGAAACGTTCAGTGCGTTCAACGGTTGACGAATCAGACGCAATCAGTTAGGTGTCCTAAAACGAAATCCAGTAAAGCCTTTAAGGTGTCACGCAGATCTCTGATTTTCAGTGCTTCATTGTCTGTTTCAAAACAATTTATTTTCTCAGAAACGGATGAATACTTTTCAAACTAATACATAACTTTTTTTGTGCTATTATGGTGAGTGTAACGATATAAAAGAACATAAGCCGTTTTTCAGGCTTTAAGAAATATGAGTTTTTCAAATTTTCGACCTTAAAAGCTTTTTTGGAAGGTTAAATCATACATATTCTAATACAGCTCGGCAAGCTCTATTCAACCGTATATAGGTATCGCAATAAAAAAGTTTTCCTCGACCGTTGAATTAGCGGCAAGTTAAATAATTAACGTGCCGTGAAGTTACGTGCGTGAAGTTCTATAGAAATGATATATATCATTTCTATAGAACTTCGCGACGAAAAAATAGTATTTTCGACATTTACAATTTATGAGGACTCTTTTTTAAATTAACAGCGACCATGATTAAGTTTAAATTTATTTGATCAAAACTGACGTTTTTGACACTTTATAGATTTATTTTCAACGGAAAATATATAACACTGTTGTACTTTACATATGAAACACTATGAAAAAGAAGGAAAAAAGCTTTTCCTTAATACCGTAGATACAGGTATTGGACGCGAAAGTGAGAGTAACCTTCAGTTCCTTTGCTGACGTACTCATCGTTATATATATATTAGCAAATGGTATAAGCAGCTGGATATTCGCATTGGTACTCGTACCAGCAAGAGAGAGAAAAGATTGTTTATTAAAGTGCCTTTTGTTGAGAATAGTACTGGAGTATTTAAAACTGCGCTACCAAAATTTACTAGTCAAATTCGACCAGATCCTAAATTAACAATTACTGAAAGGCCCCTAGTATCAGTTCAAAATTGATCTAATTTTAAGAATAAAATAACAAACTATCTAAAGTTTAATTTATGATATTAAGTCTAAGGACTGTGGTTCACAGTATATGGGTAAAACTGAGACAAGCATGGAGACGACTCTTCGAACATGGATCACCAAAGGATACTTATGGTTCTCAATTATCTCAGTCATTATCTAATATGGATTTATCTTCTTTATCCTCTATAGCAACACAAACAGTGAAACCCTATTCACGCTATTGGTTGGAGAAATTTAATCATAACTACCGCTATTTTAAAAAGGGTGTTAAAATAATTTGAGGGTAAACCAGTAGAATTAATTTAAATACTATTGAGTACGAAATTGCTACAAAGATCATGGAAGAAAACACAGAAAAGTGAAATACAATCACTCTATGTAGAGTATAATTGCTGTGATGATGTTCTACCAATTAGCAATCCTACTATATATAGAGAGATCCTATTTCATTTCTCTTTTTTGCCGATTATGATCAGTGGCTCTTACCGAAAGCCTGAGTAAACCATAAACTAATTTTTGTTAAAAATCTCCAATAATCATTGTAGCAGTTTTATACTCAGTAATCAGATTATTGGCCCTTAATCGTTCCCATATGTTCATCAGGACTCACAAACTCGTTCGAAAAACCGTGACAATCAGCAACATATTTATTACATACAGTTTTACTACAACAATTAATATAACTATATAAATCCGAGATTGCAGACTTTTTGTTAAAAAGAGGGAATTCATGTTAACTTCTCTCGCATTCCATAAAATCTTCATTCCGACAATTGTGTTAACAAACTCAAGAAGTTCATCCTGTGTTTCTCCATTTGAAGGGTATGGTATTGATATTGATTTACCGAAACCAGACTTCACTTTAGAACTACTACTTGAATTTGATTGGGAAAGTATGTTAAAGAATTTATTTACAACATGCGTCCAAGCTTGAATTTTCTTTCTATTTAGTAAATCCAGACGTTTTTAAAAATGATTGCAGTATATCTTTCTGCAAAGATCCAGGCTACTTTGGTAAGGAAGTCGTGTTTCGGCAGCAAAGTTCGTAATTATTAATGCACTTTTTTCACTTTTGTAATTTAAGCTGATTTTGTTGATAATGGTAAGTACAGTTTTCCCTGTACAATTTTCTTCGATCTTTTCAATTTTGACTTCCATCTGCTTGTCTGTTTGAAGAAGTTCAAGGTATCACTCATACTGTTGGCACCGTTTGTGATTTCACAATGCACCAAAGCCCTGTTTCAACAAGTATACATAATTTACAAATAATAATCGGCTACATAAAACCTAGAAATCTTTTTCAGTTGAGACACCTAATATAGTTAATGGTAATTTCTCTGATGTGGATGGTTTTAATGATGATTGGGACAATAATATCGAATACGATTTACCTAGTAAGTGGATATTTCACATCAATGTCTGTGCTGTACAGGGTGCCACTAAGTAAACGGAATACCTACATCTATCTTGTATCAAACGCTTTTTCTCTACAAATTTTTATCCAAAACCTAGCAAAACAACAGAAACAACAATAAATAAAAAGATTTATTCAAAATGGCCTCCATCTGCTTCTACACATGCCTTCAACAAAATTTGTTGAGAAAAAGCGTTTAAAACAAGATAGATGTAGCTGTTCCGTTTATTTAGTGGCAGGGTGTACTTATTACTTCATTCTAAGAACTGTTTCTCTTTATGCCTGTAGATATTGATGACGATCAAACTCATCATGAAAGTCGTTCAAATTATCAGCCAGTTAGTACTGGTATGTTTGAACAACAGAGACACTTCTCCATTACAGGTGAATCCATACAACGTCGAACTTGTTTTCATTTATTCTAGTTGATGATATCGGTAGTGACCACGAAGGCGCTACAGGTTTAGGCAACGGAAAAAACAATGTGGTCCTGCTTCCTTCACCGCTAGTTGTTCGTGTGAGTGTTAACGACTTATTATAACTCTTCAATAGTTAAACTAATGAATTATTTTAAAAAAGTTGACGTGGGCCTTGAAGTTCAACACATTTTAAACTTTATTCAATGTGTCACTCTTACGGACAGAAACTGGAAATATGAAACGATACAATGCAGTTATGGATACTGCTTTTTGCATTGGTGTTAAAAGCAATACCGTCACTCTAAACTTTTAAGACAGGGTCTGTCAAAAAACAGACCTGCAAAGACAATAGTGGCCAGAGCTAAACAATTTTCCTTTCTTTGTTCCAAATAATAAATTCTATTATTTACCAGAAGTATCACTTATGAAAAGCTTGAATAAACTAACGAAGTGGTTTTTCAATTAAATCTACAATGATATTTGTAGCGCTTAATAATCTTTAAATTATTATATTTTGCTTTACCTTTAAATTACTCTGTTTCATGTACTGACCAAAACTGTAGATCAGAGAAAACAAATATTCGATGCTTATGGACTGATAGACGAGTATATATAAGGAGAAAACGTAAGAAAAATATTCAGCTGCTCTATAATTGAATGCCATAAAATTTGGACTAAAACTATCATATACATTGTGTTCAGTTATTTATTGTAATTAACCACAAATAGACGTAGAGAAAAATAAAAGATAATATAGTGAGCAAGAGGAAGAGAAACTGTCGTCGATGTCAGTTCATTCTATCTATAAACAGACTGTTGAGAAAGGCTATTTATTCCACTGCTACTTACAGTGACTAGTAATCATTTTCTGAAAATA